TCTGCCTGTATTTATCTAGTGCTGAATGATGCTTTATCCTAAGATCCTAAGTTCAAAGCATGTGCCATTTACAGACAAAGTACAAGGCAAGAAACAAGAAAGATGGGAAGATGGACTGCAAAGAGAAGAAAAGTGAAAAAGCTTTATCTGTTTTAGATAATAGGAAGTTATGGGAACTAGGACAGGATTTTTGGATGACCAACAGAGGAAATTTGCGTTATTAATAGATTAAATATACTTAACAACATGGCAGGCCCAGTAGGACACATAAAAATAAAAGGTAAGGGCGCCTGGGTGGCTCAGTCGGTTAATCGTCTGCCTTCGGCTCAGGTCATGATCGCAGGGTCCTGGGATCGAGCCCCACGTCGGGCTCCCTGCTCCGCGGGAAGCCTGCTTCTCCCTCTCCCACTCCCCCCTGCTTGTGTTCCCTCTCTCGCTGTGCCTCTCTCTGTCAAATAAATAAATAAAATCTTTAAAAAAAAAAAATAAAAGGTAAAACTGGTTGGCCTATCTCCAGCCTTTTGTGTGGTTTTTCTCCTTTCATCTGCGTGACAGTCCTGTGTAGTAGGCAGTGTTCTCTTCAGTTTTACAGATGAGGAGACAGGCTCACAGCTTCAAGTAACTTGCCCAGGGCCTTCAGCTAGCAAGTGGTAGAGCTGGATTTGAACTCAAATAAGCACAGATTGTGTTATATCTGTACAGTCGTTTCTCGGTGAATTTTGAAAAATTAGTGGGAATTGCAGCAGGACATTATCCAGCATGATGCAGACAGTAATTATTTTCTTGGGTAAATCTTTGAGGGGAAAGAAGTGGGTAGGAATGATAAAAAGAAATTTTTTAGCGAGAAAAGAATAAATGGCACCCCAAATACAGAAAACAAAAGTTTATAATTCTTTTTTTTTTTTAAGATTTATTTATTTATTTTAGAGTGTGAGTATGAGGAGGGGCAGAGGGAGAGAGAATCTTAGGCAGACTCCCCACTGAGCACAGAGCCCAACACAGGCTCGATCTCCCAACCCTGAGATCATGACCTGAGCCGAAACCAAGTCAGACATTTAACTGACTGAGCCACCCAGGCACCCCAAAAGTTCACATTTCTTTCTTAAAAAAAAAAAAAAAAGATTTATATATATGAGAGAGAGAGAGAGAGAGCACAAGCCAGGGAAAAGGCAGAGGGAGAAGCAGACTCCCTGCTGAGCAGGGAACCCAATGTGGAGCCTGAGCCCAGGACCCTGGGATCATGACCTGAGCCCAAGGCAGATGTCTAACCGTTTGAGCCTCCCAGGCACCCTAAAAGTTTATATTTCTGATAGAAAAGTGTAAGTTCCTGAAGATGACTGGTGCTCAGGCTTGAGAGCATATCCCCAGAGGTTCTGTTGCCCCCAAGTCTGCATTTCTAACAAGCACCCCCCTCCCCCATGACACCACAGCTGCTGCTAGGGGCCTGGGGGCACCACACTTGGATATCACCACTCTAGACCATTTGAGGGAGGTGGAGACGTGGACAGTGTGTGTAAGAGGAATTCCTCTGGCTAGCAGCATTCAGGGAGCTGGAGAGAAGGGTGTATAGGTAGAAATCAAGGTTTTTAACAAGCGTGGGGTAGTCAAGCTTATGTTTTACAATGATGCGAAAGAAAGCACCCCTGCTCCCCATGGCTGGAAGAGGGTGGTATGCGGAAGGATGAAATGCAAGAACCTCATAGAGTGTAGGCTAATGGCAGTTTTGAGATCTGGTTGGCATCTAGAGCAGTGCCCTGTCTATAACATGCTCAGTAATTGTTTGCACGATGTCTCACACCTGTTAGAGTGGCTGTCATCAAAGACAAGTGATGACAAATGCTGGTGAGAATGTGGAGAGAAAGGATCCCTGATGCACTGCTGGTGGGAATGGAAATTGGTGCAGCCACTGTGGGAAACAACATGGAGGTTCCTCAAAAAAATAAAGAACCACCAGATGAGCCAGCAGTTCCATTTCTGGGTATTTGTCCAAAGGAAATGAAATCACTATCCCAAAGAGCTGTCTATACCGCCATGTGCACTGCAGCGTTATTCACAGTAGCAGAGACATGGGAACAGCCTACATGTCTATTGACAGATGGATAAAGAAAATTTGGTATTTATCTACAATGGAATACTATTCAGCCGTAAAAAGAAGGAAATCCTGCTATTTGCAACAATATGGGTGAACCCTGAGGGCATTATGCTAAGTGAAATAAGTCAGAGCAAAGACAAATAGTGTATCATCTCACTCACGTGGAATCTAAAAAACAGAAAACAAACTCAGAACAGATTTGTGATTCCTGGGGTGGAGGTAGGGGAAATGGGTAAAGGTGGTCAAAAGGCGTACAAACTTCCAGTTATAAGTAAGCTCTGGGTATCTATTATACAACATGATGACTATCATTAATACTGTATTTATGTTTGCAAGTTGGTGAGAGTAGATCTTAAAAGTTCTCAAGAGAAATTTGTTGGGACTTCATCAAGATAAAAAGCTTCTGCACAGCAAAGGAAACAGTCAACAAAACAAAGAGGCAACCCACGGAATGGAAAAAGATATTTGCAAATGACACTACAAAGGGCTGATATCCAAGATCTATAAAGAACTTCTCAAACTCAACACTCAAAAAACAAATAACCCAGTCAAAAAATGGGCAGAAGACATGAACAGACACTTCTCCAAAGAAGACTAATGGCTAACAGACACATGAAAAAATGTTCATCATCATTAGCCATCAGGGAAATTTAAATCAAAACCACATTGAGATACCATCTTCCACCAGTTAGAATGGCAAAAATTGACAAGGCAAGAAACAACAAATGTTGGAGAGGTTGTGGAGAAAGGGGAACCCTCTTACACTGTTGGTGCGAATGCAAGTTGGTACAGTCACTTTGGAAAACAGTGTGGAGGTTCCTCAAAATAAAAATAGAGCTACCCTATGACCTAGCAATTGCACTACTGGGTATTTACCCCAGAGATACAGAGGTAGTGAAAAGAAGGGCCATATGCACCCCAGTGTTCATAGCAGCAATGTCCACAGTAGCCAAACTGTGGAAAGAGCCAAGATGCCCTTCAACAGATGAATGGAAAAAGAAGATGTGGTCCGTGTATACAATGGAATATTACTCAGCCATCAGAAAGGATGAATACCCAACTTTTGCATCCACATGGATGGGACTGGAGGAGATTATGCTAAGTGAAATAAGTCAAGCACAGAAAGTCAATTATCATATGGTTTCACTTATTTGTGGAACATAAGGAATAGCATGGAGGACATTAGGGGAAGGAAGGGAAAAATGAAGGGGGGGAAATCAGAGGGGAGATGAACCATGAGAGACTATAGACTCCAAGAAACAAACTGAGGGTTTCAGAGGGGAGGGGGTTTGGGGGATGGATGAGCCTGGTGATGGGTATTAAGGAGGGCACGTGTTGCATGGAGCACTGGGTGTTAGACGCAAACAATGAATCATGGAGCACTACATGAAAAACTAATGATGTACTGTATGGTGACTAACATAACATAACGTAATAAAAAAAAGAAATTTGTTAACTATGTGAGGTGATGGATGTTAACTGAACTTTGATCATTTCACAGTAAATGCATATGTCAAATCATTATGTTGCACAACTTAAACTGATACAAAGTTATATGTCAGTGGTATCAATAATACTGGGAAATAATTGTTGCATGAATGGACAATTAGAATGAATTAAGAGTTCCATACATTAGGGGCACCTGGGTGGCTCAGTCGGTTAAGCATCTGCCTTTACCTCAGGTCATGATCCCAGCCTCCTGGGATCGAGCCCCACGTCGGGCTCCCTGCTCCTCAGGGAGCCTGCTTCTGCCTCTCCCTCTGCCTGCCGCTCCCCCTGCTTGTGCTCTCTCTCTCTCTCTGTCAAATAAATAAAAATAAATAAAATCTTTTAAAAATTTTCCATATGTTAGAAATATTCACGGGGAGCCTGGGTAGCTCAGTGTTGGGCTCTGCGCTCAACGGGGAGTCTGAGATTCTCTCAATCTCTCCCCCTGCTCACATGCTCTCTCTCTCTCCTCTCTAAAATAAATAAAATCTTAAAAAACATTCAGCAATTGATATATGTCCTTCCATTCTTTTTAAGTCTCTCTCATAAAAACATTTTCTAAAATTTATATTTTTGGTAAAAATAATTTTGGGGAAAATCTTCAGAATATACAAATGATATACAATAAAATGCCCTCCTACTCTTGTCTCTTCTTTTTGGTTTCTTTCCTTCAAGGCCAGTATTAATAAAGTTTCTTGTGTATCCTTCCATACACAAAGATAGTCCTCATAAATGTATATGTGTGTAAATTTTTAAAAACACAAAAATAGTATAGCATACTATACCACTATTCTGTCCTTTACTCTTTTCATTTAGTAATATATTTTGTTGATCATTTCATATAGCTTATATATAAGGCTGACTCAGTCTTGTCATTTTATTTAAATTCCATACTATGGTGGGCATTTAGATAGCTTCTAATCTTTTGGCATAATTAAAAACATTACAGTGACTGTCCTAAATACCTTTGTAATTTGGTAAATATCAAATTGTCTCCAAACTTGGGTGAATTAGTTTACATCCCCAGCAACAATTTTAGAGCCTGTTTCCCCATATCCTCAACAACAAAATATTTTATGAAATTTTTCATCTTTGTCAATTTGATTGATGAAAAATAATACCCTATGATCATTTTTATTTGTATTTTTCTAATTGTGAGTGAATTTTTGCATTTTTCTTACATTTATATATCTGTCGTATTTCTTTTTTCTGTGACCAGGATGCTCATGTCCTTTGCTCACTTCTTAATTGCTTTTTTTCCTTATTGAATCTTAGAAGCTCTTTATTAAGGAAATTGGCCCTTTGTTATATGTGATGCAAACTTATGTACCTTTTAGTTTTCTTTATAGTGAACAGTTTTTAAAATTGTCCATTTTAAGTGAATTTACAATTGTTACCTGCATTGTTTTTTTCTACATAGGATTTCTTAACATTTGGGATCTAAGGACTGGAAAGTATCCTGTCCATCGTTTTGAGCATGACGCAAGAATACAGGCACTAGCCCTCAGCCGGGAAGACGCAGTTGTGGCCACAGCTTCTGCTTTTGATGTTGTGATGTTACGCCCGAATGAAGAGGGATATTGGCAAATCACTGCCGAATTTGAAGTTCAGAAACTGGTAAGCTTTCAAGTCTGGTCACTGTATTCTCCGTTCTTGGAATCTCTGGGTCTAATATAGACAGATAGTAATGATGTCGGCAGCTCCCATTCACTCAGGACTTCCTCTGGGCCTTACATTTCTAAATCTCACCGCAGCCTTGCAAAATAGATAGTATTATTTTCCCCATTTGCCAGAAAGCCAATAGAGGCTTAGAGCAGAGAATTGACTTGCCCCAGATCTCAGCGCTAAGAAGCTGTGCTTCAGACCTCACGGCTGACTTCAAGGCTAGGGTTTCTCATCACTGGGGTGCTCAGCTTCCTTCACATTAATAGGACATTCACCCCTGGAAATCTGAGGTCGGTTTCTGGCCTATTATATAAGTGAAAATGAATTCAGTGGTATCATCCCCGTCCATATGGGAAGGAAGATTACCATCCTGCACTTTTTCCACCTAAGATTTTCTCACCTGGAATTAAGAGTAACTCCTGAGTGAAAATAAATTTAAGTCAGCGTTAATTGGGTAGCCGTGTTCCAGGATGTCATGCATGAAGCTCGGCCAACCTTTAGAGTTCTTCACATAGAGCCTGTCTCCGAGTCCAGTTATATGTGAGCCTCCATGTTTATATGGCAGGAGATGATTTTGTGGTAAGAAGGAAGAGCTCAAATCTGTGCTACATTTGGATTTAATTTAAACAAACTTGATTTTGGCACTCGTGGGAAAGTGAACAGAAAAGCCAATGTTGAATAATGAATTGATGGTCTGACCTGGAACAGATCCTGTTCTTTTCCCTTTTTCCCCCTGGTGGAAATCTTGTTAGGCTTGAGTAACTAAAAAGCCATGGCATCACCACTTCACCTCCATAAGCTTCTGGTCCCTTTAGTAAGTAGTGTCTGCAGTTTGGGTGGTGGTTCCCCAAACTGCCTGACCCTCCTCTTGGAGTTTTATTAGAAAAATGTGGAAATACCATCTTTCTGTTCTCAAAACTACCATAGTGCTTACTATTTGGTCTCTGCCTAAAGAACATTCTAGACGAGCAATAATTATATGAATTCAGACAGTTACTTAGGATGTGAGTTCCTCTGTAAAGTGTAAATCCTGCCTTGGCAATAAGGTGGCATCCTGGCACAGACTGGAAGCTTTATGAAATAGTTTACAGCTCCTGGCGAATGGCATAACCACAGTCGATCTGAGCCTCTTGGTCTGTCAAAAATCCAACAGTAAAGTGAAATTAAATGGCTAGACTGAGGATGTTGATTTTAGGAGAGTAAGAAATGAGTTTTAGAATAGGGGAGAGAGGAAGCAGGCAACCACTGCTGGAGGCATGTGTTATGCTTTTTATGTGTTATTTCTCATCCTGGATAGGGGTTTCCACAAAATGTGCTGTCACTGAAAAAGGCACCTCCTGGCCCGTGAGAGCCGGGCCATTTTTGTCTTCCCCAGATGGGCTCCCTGAATCACAATGGCAGCGTTCCCCGGTTGGTACTACTGGCCTAGAATGTTCTTTGTGATGAGTTATTGGCTGGGGACGTGGGGCCGCCACTCACACTCTTGGGCCGGAGGATTAGCAGTCCCCCGGATGTTCACTCTCTCCCAAGCTCTTCTGGACAGTCCTCAGGATGCAGGCTTTTGAACTCGTTTGGCTTATAGTCAGGGCAGAGCTGGCCTTTCACACAGTGGTTTTCATAATTACACATCATGGCACACCTTCTGCTTTTGTACTCTCCCATTTCATTCGAGGTGAAAACCTGGTGTAAACTGTGCTTGGGAGACATGTGCCACTTAGGGACATAGAAAAGCAAATTATTCCTGAAGGGAGCTCCTCATTCCCGTGCAGATGAGAGAAAGTGGTTGCAATAACGCAGTCAGGAATACCGTGGGGTCCTTTCTATTCTCGATAACCTTGAAGCCAGCAGAGGACAGATACCTCAGGTACTTTTAGCCTTTTAGCAACACATTTTTGGTATTTGCACAAATGTTAAAGTGTGAATGGTGCTAATTTGGAACTGAGTGGATTTTATTCAGTTTCTTGTAAAAAAAAATTAATTTTTTGAATAGTTATTATACCCTCATGGTTCTGAATTTAAAAGATACAGTAAGGTTTACAGGGAGAAATCTGTCTTCCACCCCATCAAAGTATTCTGTTCCCTTTTTGAAGGCAGCCATCGTTAACAGATTTATACTTGCATAAGCCACATATGTCCCATGGTCCCCCTGGCTCCCCTTCACGCACAGTAGCACTCTGTGAATCCTGTTACCTTGCTTCCTTGCTTTCTCCCCCCAAATGTATCCTGGATATGATTCCATTTGTATCAGTTTATAAAGAATTCTTCGTGCTTTTTTTCCCTGTGTCTGCGTAGTATTCCAATGCATAGATGTACTGTTAATTAGTCCCTTGGTAAGGCATGTTTAGGTTTTTCCAGTTTTTAGCTAAGACAGCATAGTGCTACAGTAAATAACCTTGTACACAGTTGTTTTGCATGTGTGTGAGTTTACTTGTAAGTAAATTTCTAGGGCTGACTTGCTGGTTCTGAGCGCATGTGCATTTGACATTGTGATAAGTATTGCCAAATGTCCCTCTAGAGAGGTTGGACCAGATTACATCCCACCAGCCATAAGTGGGATCCGCAAATATGGTTGTCCCCCCTCCACTTCCAGACCAGTGTCCTATCAGGCTAATTGATCTTTGCTGATATGACTGGTGAAAATGGTATCTAGGTGAATTTTTACTTCATATTTCTCTTATCGGGAATGTATCCTGTTTCTTTTACAAAGAGCAACTTTTTATTAGTGTAAGAACTATGTTCTCATTTCCTGTGAACTGTGACCTTTTGCCCATCTTTTTCTGTTAGGTTCCTGGTTTTATTGACATATAGGAGGAATTGTGTATTTTTGACCAAGTCAGGATGAACCATAGTTGAGACCTGATGGACTACGTAACTCTAATCCTTTCACAGGTTGACTACCTTGAAATAGTTCCAGATACTGGAAGGTACCCTGTGGCAGTGGCCACGGCTGGAGATCTGGTATACCTGCTAAAAGCCGAAGACTCTGCCAGAACCCTCCATTATGTCTACGGCCAGCCCGTCACGTGTCTGGATGTCTCAGCCAGCCAGGCTGCTTTTGGTGTGAAGAGTCTAGGATGGGTATACGAAGGAAACAAGGTACAAAAATATAAGATGTATAAGGAAAAAAAAAAAATCGATTTTTATTTTTTAGAAGGCAATTAAAAAATTAAAGCTGATACATTTCTTAAGGTGTATTCAGGCAATATATATTCATCATGGTATAAAAAGAAACCTCAAGCACTTCTGAAGGATATAAAATGAAAAGTAATTGTTTCTTTTCTCCTCCCTTCCCCCAGCCCCACTCCACAGAAGAAACTATTAAACAGTTTTTAGGTATCCATCTAGAAAAATTTAATGCATTTATAGGTATATTTATACATTAAAAAATGAGATCATAGTATACATACTGTTCTGTACTCAACAGTTTTGTTCAGTAATATACCTTGGAGAGCATTCCATGTCAGTACATAGGATTCCAGCGTATGCTTCCAACCCACAGTCTGTTTATGCAGCCCCCTCACTGGTGGGCAGTTCGGTCATTTTCGCTGTTTGGGCTATTACAAACCACGCTACGATGTGTATTGCAACTTCTGAAAGTCATTGTGTAGTAGATCTCTAGGATAGATTCCAAGCAGTTATGTTGCTTGGTCAGAGGGTATGTGCACCTAAGATGGTGATGGACATTGCCAAATTGCCCTCCAAAAGGGTTGCAGCAAAATTTCTCACCAGTAGTGCAGAAAAGTGCCTTCTGATTATCTTTGAGTCAGAATTAAGGGGACAAGTTTTCAACTGAAATTCCTTCCATGATGACTAAATTTTATCACTACCTAGCATTTTATTATCCTGACTCTAGGCCAAGGACTTAGTCTTAAAGGTGATTTATCTCTTTCTCTGCCAGTGAAATCAGGGGAGAAAGGGATCAAGTTTTGTTTTGTTCTGTTTTTCTCCAATTTGCCTGCTCTTGACCCTGCTGCCAGTGGGTATAGTCCTCGGGAAGGAGCTTCCCTGAGCCAGCAGCTCCTCTGATGACGCTTCTCCTTCTGGAAGGAGGCCTTCTTCCACAGAGCAGCATTATGACCTGGAGAAGAGCCAGGCTATGGATGCATACAGCCCGAGTTTCAGGCCCAACTCAGCAGTAACCTACCTCCCTGTGTGACCTTAAGCAGGTTGTTTAACCCTTCTGTGCCTCAGTTTTCTCATTGGTAAAAGGGAGTTCCGAATAGTACCTACTTCATAAAATTGTAGGGTTCGATGAAAACTTGTCTGTAAAGCTTGTAGGCATAGTGCCTAGCACGTGAGTGTTACCATCATGGCGCTTCCTGTTTATTTCCTCCACTCATAGTTTAAGCCTGGCCTCTGGTTGTGATTTTTACATCTTGTTTCCCCTGTGTATAGTTCCCTCTAAGATCAAATCTCATTCACCAAGGTGTTCACTGGTTTTGCAACTTAGTAAATGTGCAAAGAATTGAAGCATCCCGGATTGCAGTGACTTACTCTTCATTCGGGAAGATGCATAAAGCAGTCAAAAATACATGTGGCTTTTTGCAACCTCACTGTGACAATGGACTCCCTTTGTGCTCTAGTTGGCCTGTTTTGTGGAAGCACATTCAGCACAGCTTAGCTGGAAAGATAGACTTAAGATGATTTAACTCCTGTGTTGTGCCTTCCTGGGTGGTGGGGGAGGGGAGAGCCGTTGGTTTCCTAAGGCAGTTTCCTTTCTTGGGCTTTGAGAAAACCTTTTCTGGTCCCCGGTGAGCTCATTTGTTGAGAGAAGAGAGACTGTTTTGCTATCTAAGTTTTCATCCATCGTACTTTCATGTTTTGGTTATCTCCTCCATGTCTCAAGTTCTCAGTGTAGTGAGGTGATAGTTATGTTTAGCGCTAGCCTGGCTTAAATTTGTCCTATTTTAATAAATTTTTCATAGGCAGGCCCTCTTTCTCTTTGACTTACCTGAGTGGATGTATTTGAGAAACCAGTAAAGGGATAGTTCAGCACAAAGTTAGACTGGGTGCATCCTTTGGATATTGACTCAAGGAAGTGCCGTTTTGGATGTCTCAGGTTTTCCAACCCAATTAAAAGCACTAATTAGGGGCACCTGCGTGGCTCAGTTGAGCATCTGCCTTTGGCTTGGGTCATGATCCCAGGGATCAGCCCCATATCAGGCTTCCTGCTCAGCGGGGAGCCTGCTTCTCCTTCTCCCCGCTTGTGTGCTCGCTCGCTTTCTCTCTCTCACTCTCTCTTGCTATCTCTGTCACTATCTCTGTCTCTCTCTCACTCTCTCTTGCTATCTCTGTCACTATCTCTGTCTCTCTCTCAAATAAATAAATCTAAAAAATAAAATAAAAGCACTAATTATTAGAATCGGCTGATTAACCCACTGATTTTATGAAAATTCACTTTTCAAAGTTTATAGTCCCTCAAATAAGTCATTACCTGTTATTTTTCATTGGTGTTTTAGAATGAAGAGTGGAAGTTAATTTGCTACAAGAATGTGTTTCACGATCTCTTTGAATCTGTTGGTACCATTAGTCATCCAAATATTTTGTGAGTGCAACTCCAAACCCTCCAACAGTTGTACGGGTGGATGGCTGGTGGTTGTTAGTGGTGCAGTAATAACTTTGCATTGAGATGTTTCTCCAGCATGAATGCCACCCACTGGCACGTGAGGGAGGCCAAGCTATGTCTGTGAAACTTTCCTCAGTTTTGAGGAGGCAGCACTTTCCATCTGATTGTGTTCAATGGATTCTCTGCTTGTTTGAGAAAAACCTGCATTTTTAGGAAATGTAATTGTCCCGTAACATTTCTGGGTGAATTAAGCCATGCTGCGGGTGGCTGTAAGATTTTAGTATCATCCTGCTGTCCTATAACGTAATATCATAATTCCCAAACAGTCTCATGTGCGGTGCTCAGCGTCACTGTGCTGGTGAATACCATGTTTTGGCTCTATCTGCCTTGGCCCGGCAGCACGTGGCCCAACATGTTTTATTAGGTTAGTGTGAGACTGTTAGCAGGAGAGTCTGCCTGCAGCTGTATCCACGCGGGGGTTTGTGTCTGTGCCTCTGGCCTGTGTATTTAGGACTCAGATGAAGGCTTCATGAGAACAGAGTTTGGTTTATCTTCATTTGTATTGATACAGAACTGAGGTTTAGTTATAATCCGTTATTGATTAACTGTGATCAAAGCAGATAGTGAAGTCCAAATGTTGATACAGAATTTGAGTCAGCGACCAGAATTTCCCCAACCTGTGGAAGTATCCCAGCGGTGTTATTTGTGTTCAGTTGGAGAATATCCTTGCACCATATGACGATCACATTAGCATTTTATAGGCACCACAGCTATGTGAGCATCAGGTAATGATGGTTTCAGATCCATCCGTTCAGACATCTAGCTAGCCAGCCGGACGCACGTTGGGCGCAGAGTTACAGAACACCAGTTGCGTTCCTGGCATTGGACTGTTACAATTGCATTCCACACAGGCTTCAGCAAATTGGCACTTCTAGAACCTAGCCCTGTTAATACACATAGTCTCCTAAGGAAATGAAACCAAGGAACATAGCACAAATGTATTTAATCTCAGGGCACCTGGGTGGTTCAGTTGGTTGAGCATCCGACTCTTGATTTCCGCTCAGGTCATGAACTCAGGGTTGTGAGATCAAGCCCCGCATCAGGCTCCGTGCTGGGCATGGAGCCTGCTTATGATTCTCTCTCTCCCTGCCTCTCTGCCCCTCCCCTGCCTCATATGTGGACGCATGCTTTCTCTCTCCCTCTCTCTCTCTCAAAAAAGAAAAGAAATGTATTTAGTCTTAAGGCTTGTAAATACAGCTGGTGGTTCAGCTGTTTCCAGCTCAGGAAGGATCAGAGAGAAAGCTCTGGTACCTCTTGATTTGCTTGTATGCAGGGATCCCCAGGCTTACAGGCTCCAGAGTGTTAATATTGCCTTCTTGGGCTCTTGGCTTCAGTGGCATAAATAACCCGAAGGGTGGCCATTGCTAAGTGGCATGTGATGGTGAGGGAAAGGAAATGTAATTGCAATTACTCTGGTCTCCATTGTGCTGCAGTGCAGAAATCCATGTCAGCTCTGTTACCAACCCTCTAAAATGTGTTTTTATGTCTCACATTTCCTGAATCTGTCAAAAACACTTCATCCATGAAAATGGTATTTATGATACCGTATTATCTTTATTAATTCTTTTGCTGCTTGAATTAAATTTTGCTCTCAGAGGTAGAGGGTTAGAAGATAGAATTGCCTCATTTAAGAGCATTATGTTGATGATGAGTCTCATGCCTCATAAAGGAAAGAGAGAGACCCACTTAGGGCTGTTAGCATCATTCTATGTATTTGGACATATTTCCTAATTTAGTTCTGAAGTACTTGGCATTCGATGGCAGATCGTATTAAGCAGCACGCGGCATGCATCCTAATTAGGGGGATGTGAGTGAAGTAATCCAGAAGGCTGGAATGTGTTTGACAAGGACACTTGCTTGGCGCTGCTGCCTCAGCTTACATCACGCTGGACAATAATTGGTAATGTCTCCTATGATAATCATTCCCTAAACATGAACGTGAAAGGACTCTGGATTGGTGGCTTGTGCTCGTCACGAGTTGAAATATCAGTCAGAGAGAGCCTTTGGAATCAGAAACGCAGCACCTGTGAGTTTGGGCCCCGCTTTCCCATACCTACACTAGAATATGAAATCCATCTTTTGCTCAAGGTTCTATTCCAGAGAACAAAAACTTGGTATTTTACAAGCAGGATGACTAATTTAGAATTGAAAGTTCACAAAGTAAATGGCTAATTTCCTTTTCACTCTCATCTTAAAACCTTTAAAATTTTTTATATATACTTTGTTCTTGGAGAAATTTAGGAAAATAGCTCTTGGAGACCAGTTTTCTTGGGTTACTGAGTGATGTGGACTACCAAAAAGATCCATTTTTGCTGTTGAGATTGCTGCCATTGTTAGTGACTCCTTATTGAACACATGCTGTATGCTAGATTTTTTTTTTTTTTAAGATTTATTTATTTGAGAGAGAGCGCGCACATACACGTGCAAGTTGGGGCAGAGGCAGAGGGAGAGGGAGAAAATCTCAAGCAGA